GACAGAAATTTAACTGATAAGCTGTTTTGTAATTGTAAATTTTCACCCAAATCACAATTAAAAAAAAAAAAAAAAAGAATACCACTGTAGGTTTGCAGTTGGTTGCCTCCCTTAGCTGCCTCTATGAAAGAGGCCTGTAACCAATCACCCTACACTGGGTTCAATTAGTTGGCACCACTTATATTTTCAGCTTTTAAGGTTATAATAAAATGAAAAATATTGATCAAGATGAAACATGTACCTTTCCTATAAACGCCATGGCATTTGTATTCCCTGCTTTTGCTGCCTTTAAGAAATAGTATAATGCTTTCTGAGGAGGAAAGAAACAGTATTATTGACAGTCATGGATATACACAACACAACGGCTTTTTGAAGCACAGTTGATTTCACTCAACATGCATTCAAGAAATATCTATGAAATGCCCACTTTAGGGTACTATTCCAAGTGCTATTTCAATTGTAAACTTAAATGTTGCTGTTTTATGCCATTAAGTCAATTTTTACATGTAGCGACACCAGAGGACACAGTAGAATTGCCCCACAGGGTTTCTAAGATTATAGTATTTATAAAGGCAGACTGCCACATCTTTCTCCCACAGAGTGACAGGTGAGTTCAAACCATCAATCTTTTGGTTAGCAGCCTAATACTTAACCAGTACGTCACCAGAGCACCTATAAATCTGAATAATGGGAGTTTTAGAGCAATAACTTACATATATGTAAATTTAGAGTGTGAGGGCTTATTTCTCACATTTTAGTAGGCATGATGGTCATGTAGCTATGTGAGGAGAGTTGAATCACACATGTAAAGTTAAAGTGGCTACCATTTTGAAGAAGTACACTTCTAAGTTGACACTGTGTACTTCTTTTATAAGGCAAGCTCTTCAATAGTTAGGATTGGTTATGCAGCATCCTATACACACACACACACACACACATAAACATATGAACACACACACACTCATATATATATGGCAGTGGGTTGGTTGGTTTATAAGTCATAGGCAGAGTGAGTAAGAATAGATATACCTGGCTGCCTGATGTGACCAAATCTTTTAGCAGATGTGAACGTTAGGCCAATTTCTTCTAAATAAAATTGAAGGAGACTGCCAAAACATCTGATTCCCTCTAGGCCATAGCATTAAATGAAGTGCTCAGTCTAGAACGCACAGGGCTGACCATTTCCCTTGCTGTTCCATTCCACAGGCCTTATCTTGACCTTCTAGAAGGTCTCCTGTGAGACCACTCAAAAAAAAACTCACTGCTGTCAAGTCGGATCTGACTCATAGTAACCCCCTCCTTGGGTTTCCAAGGGTGTATCATTATGGAATTAGATTGCCCAATCTTCCTTCCATGGAGTGGCTGGTGGGTTTGAACTGCCAGCCTTCTAGTTAGCAGTCAAATGCCTTAGGCACTATGCCACCAGAGCTCCCACAGGTAGTAATAAAAGAAATTAGCCCCAGGAATGAGACATGAAAACACTGTCCACAGTGTCTTTCAAGGACATAACTCTTCTGCTCTTTCAATAAGCCTTGACTAGGTTGATGTGCTTCTTCCCAAAAAGGAGAGAAAATGTAAGGAAGAAATGCAGGTGGTTCCTTTAATATGGAACTTTTCTCTAGAAAGACTGCTAACTTATTTCAGAACTACATCCTTGTTACTAAAGTCAGTCTCCCAGTGGACATAAGTAAATACAAAATGTCATAGTTTTGAACCTTATCACAGCATGCATGCATGCATCCATCTCTCCCTTTCTTTATTAATCCTTTCAAAAACTATATTGAACCTACTATATATTTGTTAGTATGTTAGATATTATAGGTGATTTGTAGATGAACAAAAACATGATCCCCACATTTCCTTCCTAACAGTGTTGCTGAGAAGAAAGAAATATGGTATATGTAAATAGTAATATATAGTAGGTAATAGATGAAATAAAAGGAACCCCACAAAGAATTAGTGGGGTATAGAAAAATAGCTCTGTTGGCATAGTCCCTAAGGCACTTGACTGCTAACCAGAAGGCTGGTGGTTCAAACCCCACAAGCCACTCCTCAGAAGGAAGGTTGGGCAATAGTGGTCCCACCTTGGAAAACCAAAGAGGGGTTGCTATGAGTCAGGTCCGATATGATGGCACATAACAACAACAACAACAACAGAATAACAGAAATTGCATCTAGTTCAGCAATAAGTGTTTTATAAGCTTTTTCTCACTGAGTCTTTGTAACTGCAATATAAGGAAGTGCTAAAAAGGCAAGGAGGCCACATTTTCTGACCTGCTCTAACCACACAAGAGGAAGACAGAATCACCATCAGTAACCCAAGGACTATTCCTGCAAGGGCAGACATGCTGCCTCCCTCCAGCCCTTTCACCAACCGTTCCTTCCAAAGCACCCACAACCTCTCTCCTGGGTTCGATAATTCACTGCAGTGGCCACACAGAACTCACAGATTACGGGGTTTATTAGGGAAGCACCAGGCTACAATTCAAGCTCAGGAAAAACGCTCAGTCTCTCTCCCAGCCCACCATCTCTCAGCCAACAGTCTCTCACAGTCTCTCTCCCAGCAGTGCGTGTCCCTTGCATCTCTTTCCCAGCAGCGTATGTCTCTCAGGAGTGCATGTCTCTTTCAACAGCATGTCTTCCTCAACCAGCAGTCAGAGAGCCCTCTGCCTCTAGGAGGCCTCCTTTTGAGCCTGGCAGAGTGGCCAAACTAGCTAATCATAATATCAGAATTCTAAGCACTTGAGGGAGAGCGAACTTCCCAGAACATTGCTCCAGTGCCATTCCCAACAGAAATACCCCAGTTGGATAACTTTTACAATCAGGAGATCCTCAGTTGCTCACAGCAAATTCCACCACTGAGTTTACAGAGACTTATGGCTAGAAAAGCCATAGCAGCTAATTTACTACACTGCAGGAAGGTATTATTAATACTGGACATATTTAGTGACACAGAATCACGTTAGTGGTGGAGGACTCCAAGCAGCCTGAATCCAATTGTACTTATTCCCTCTGCCTCCATGGCATAAAGAAGGGAGGACTGGGATGACAAAGTTCTCATGAAGGATGGAGAGGATTTCCAGTGCAGAGGGCACCATAGACTTGAGGAATAACATAAGCAGGGATTGGAGATGGGAAGTTCCAAGACATATCCAGTAACTATTTCAGTATGGTTGAATTAGAGTATCTGAAACTAGGACTGCAAAAATTATGATGGTGCCATATAATAAAGTCTTGAGTACCTGGATAAGAGCTTTCATTATTTAGTAGAAAATGGAAACCATTGGAGATTTATGAGCATGAGGGATTCATGAAGCAAATGTTGTCTAAAATGTCTTGACTAATCTAAGTGCAAATTGGATAGAAATTTATAGCAGTGCATGATTTCCTAAATTAAATCCCAAATGAAACTCACTGACTTTGAGTCAATTTCAACTCATAGAAACCCTCTAGGACAGAATGTCAGGCCCTATAGCTCAGGGGTTAGAGCACTGGTCTTGTAAACCTGGAGTCGTGAGTTCAGATATTGCTGGTGCCTGCTAAGCTTTCTCCTTTTTAGGAGCTCTGGTAACAGTGCCTAAGGCACTTGAGTGCTAAACAGAAGGCTGGTGGTTCAAACCCACCAGCCACTCCTTGGAAGGAATGTTGGGCAATTGTACTTCTGTAGTGATATTGCCTCAGAAACCCAAGGAGGGGTCGCTATGAGTCGGGGCCGACTCTACAGCACATAACAACAGCAGGACAGAATAGAACTGCCCTGTAAAATTTCCAAGGCTCTAAATCTTTATAGAAACAGACTGTCTCATCTTTCTTCCATGGGGTTGCTGGTGGTTGGTGGATATGAACCACTGACCTTTTGGTTAGCAGCCAAATGCTTTATTCACTGTGCCAACAGAACTCCTTTCCCAAATTAGGCAACATTAATATGAAAAATAAAGATAGTTCTTATGAATGTCTATCCTGACCCAAGTCCCAAATATGCTCCTAGGTAACAGTGTGATTTGTGCAAGTCACAATATCTCCAGGCCTCAGTTTCCTCATTTAAATTTTCCTCTGTGCACTTAGAAAGCCTGTTCTGTCCATGTCTTGGCATGCATCCATTTATTTTCTGCTTATTTTTCTTTTCCCCCAAAATCAAATCCTTTGTATTTAGCACAGTTTCTGTCATTTATTAGGCATTCAGTAAATATTTCTGGACAGAATGAGTATATAAATGAATGAAAAGATAAGTTTATAAATCCTTAAAACAAGGGGATTGGATTTTAATCTTTCTAGTCCCTTCCAACTCTATCATTCTATTATTATGATTCTATGAGTTCACTTTCCAAGTCCACTTTTAGAATTTTTCTCCCAGATATTCTGCAATAGAAAGTTCTTGGGAAAAGTTACTTCTAGGAAACTAGATTTGAACTTTTAAAAGAAAACAAATTATTCTATGGAAGCAAATAAAGATGCCCAACCTTCAATATAATGATACCATAAAGAGCAAAAGACTTGAGACTCTCTGCAATTCTCCCTCATATAACCCTCCACTCCCACGGCTTACTTGGCATTTCAGTTTCTCCTTTTCTTTTCTTTAAATTTATATCCCCTTATTATTTTAATTGTATAAACATTATTAAACACTGACTGTGTGGAAGTACTATGCATGTTGCTTTGATAGATATACATATGAGCCAATCTGAAATTTTACTCTCAGAGTTAAGATCAAATATCCATCCATCATTTCACCCACTCATCTATTCACCCACTTATCCATCCATCAATCATCCATCCACTTATCCATCCATCCTCCCATCCTTACATCTGTTGTTTTTATTGTTATGTGCCGTTGAGTTGGACCTGACTCATAGCGACCCTTCCTTGGGTTTCTGAGGCAGTATCACTACAGAAGTAGATTACCCCATCCTCCTTCCGAGGAGAAGCTGGTGAGTTTGAACCGCCAGCCTTCTGATTAGCAGTCAAGTGCCTTAGGCACTATGCTACCAGAGCTCCCATCCTTACATCTACTCATCCATAAAACAACTCATCCATTCATTCATCCAATTTTTTACTGAGTACCTACTGTCATAGTTGGGGAGCTCTGGTGGTATAGTGCCTAAGGCACTTGACTGCTAACCATAAGGTTGGTGTTTCAAACCCCCCAGCCACTCCATGGAAGAAAGATGGGGCAATCTACTTCCCTAAAGATTACCACCTCAGACACCCAAACTTGCTATATATCCTGAATTTACTCATTCAATAATATTTACTGAGCACCTAACACATGCCACTGGCTCATCTAGCAGATTGCTCAAGCTTTTCAATGAC